GGCTCACTGCCCAGGGTGGAGCATCCATGTGGGACCATGACAGTATCCACATAAACTGTGCCCACACAAAGCAGGGGACACGTGAACGCCAATGTGACCAGAGACGAACACAATGAGTTTGGGAACAACATTCCTGGGAGGCAAGGATGTGCAGCACAAGTACCATCACAACTACATCACCTGGCCTCCTTCCTGGCATCTTCAGTGCCCAGAATACACCCCAAAATGAGGGTGCTCCCTGCACAGCCAGGGACAGAGCACATGGTGGGAGGGAGGAGCAGGCAGAGCCCGGCCCCCCCCTCCCCACACAGGCAGGAGGCCACTGCACGTGGCGTCCTGGATCAGGCAGAGCCTCCTTGATGGGACATGATCATCTCCCCCACACGTGCTCCCGCTCCTTCCTTCCAAGTCACTGGCGCTGCAGGTCTAGATTTTTCCAGATTATCTCATTTTTGGCACCTGAGTTCAAAAACTGGGACTCTGCCTTTCCCACTCAGCCCCTCCATTTGGTATCTTGGGCTGTATGCACTTTCCCATTAAAAATAATAACAAGAACAAAAAAAGACTACCAGTAATCTAGCCCAAATCTGTCAGCTGGTTTTAAGGAAACATTTCCCTACAGCTTTAATCTCTTTGTACAGCTAAAAAGTAGTGCAGCTCTGGGAGTTGGAAATGGTGACTCACTGCATCTCCACTCAGCCCTGGGCTCTTCATCCCGGGAAGCTTCTCACTGTGTTAATATTTGTCCAAGTCCCTCTAACCCAGCTCCAGCCCAGCAGACCCACACTTGGTGTCACTCTTGGAGGACAGCACAGAAGAAAAGTCACCCCAGGACTTGTTGGGTGTCCATGGTAGGATGAGCCTTGAGGCTGGGGGGGGTCTGGGCTGCATCCCCCACCACAGCTTCCTAGCACAGAGCAATGGGCCCCTGGCTTACACCAGGATCTCAGTAGATATAAAAGTTTCCCTCTGATGTTTCTTTTTTTTTTAAGTACTTTTTTATTGCTTTAATTTTAGCTCAACTCTAAGGGAGTTCTTTCCATAAGGGTTCAAGCTGGAAAAAAGAGTGAAACAGCTGAATTACTTCACTATCCTGATATCACCCTGCTTGTTCTGCAGCAAAAATAGGAAGGGGGGCCCTGCTGCCTTTTAAGAGGCACCTGGCACCTTGTGTAGCTGTCCCAAAGTGCAGCATCAGGCAGTGACGGGACAAAGATTCCAACCAAGCTGAAAGCTCAGAGGTGGTTCAGACTGTTCTGCACATCCCACGGCTATTGCAGAGGAAGGTCACGTCCCTGCTTTAGGTGAACGTTCCTGTTATTCATTGTATCTGCCTTGATCTACCTAAATAAGCTCCAGAGCATCCAGAAAGGACCACTGGGCAGGAGCAGGCAGCAGTGTTGTGGGGCAGAGCCTGCCTTGCTGGCTGTGTGCTGTCCTCAAGGCCTGGGCACCCACAGCAGCTTGTGTGGAGATAAACAGGATCACCAGATCAAACCTGCTTTCACTTCTCATCTAGGATTTCTTCCAATCCATCACCTGAGATCCCAGAACTGAGCCTCCAACTCAAATACAAACAGGTTCGGATGTGGGAGGAGCCGAGACAGACTGTTAAACCAAAATGGAAAAACATTAACCTTTCTGGGACCAACGATGCCTTCCCCCCTCTCCAAGCCTGACCAGCACCACGTTACAAGGCATGAGGAACAACAGAAGACCAGGATGTTCAGCCACACAATGTCAGCATCACTGACAGGAGGCACCAGTGGAAGGGATGCTGAGGCAGGAGGACGTGGGAGGATTAGCCACAATAGACTCAACGTGGCTCTTCCTGAGGGTTTGCCTGTCCCTCAGCCAGCTCATGAGGATCCCTCAAGATCTCTCCTTTACGAAGGGCTGGCGGATGTCTCTGGATGAAGCACTGCTGCTCCCACAATGATTCCCTGTTCCTCTCCTTACAGGGAGGCACCAGCTCCTGCCACACTGGCACAGGCACCACACACCCTGCTCAGACCTGCCCTGCCAGCACAGGAGAGGAACATCCTCGTCTGCCAGCTCCATCCTGGGCCAGTGCCCCGGGACTGGGAGTGAACTGCTGCCCACGGCAGGAGCTCAGCAGAGGTCACCACCACCCACGGGCAGTCATATTTGGATATTAAGATTTGGTAAGTCCCACATAGCAAAGGCAGCCTCCCACAGTGCCTGAGGCTGCGGGTTCAGAAACAGCCCTTCCCCTCACCTTGTTATGTCTGTTATCAGTTGCTTGTGCCTCTTTCTGCCCTCTGCGTGTTCTGCCCTTGCCTACACCCACTGCACAGCCCAGCTCAGATTTCTCTGGACAACTCCAGCTATAGCAATCCACATCTCCTGGTCATCCCACCACCTTTCCTTGTCCCAGCTGGGAGCACCAGCCACTTCAGAGACACGAACTCCAGCTTTGCCCAGGATGCCAGTGCAGTGGGACATCACACTGTGATGGGCACCATGTCCCACCTCCCTGTCACCAATGGCCCAACTCAACCTTATACCAGCAGAAGCGAAGCCAGTGCTCTCCTGGGAGTGCAGAAGAGCACAGTGACTCAGAGAGGGAGAACAGGGACAGGGAAAAATACTTTTTGCCCCATGTAGACACCTCCTGCCCTCCTCCCACCTTGGGAACCACAGCTCCAGAGCAGGCTCAGCCCACACCAGCAGCCACACTGCCTTAATGAAGTTCAGGGCTATAATTACTCCTTTCCTTTGTGGTTTGTTCTGAACTGCCAAGCTCTCTGTGACTGCTCTTCTCCTCCAACCAGCCTCTTCCTGCACAACATGCTCTCCTGCATACCTTCAGCAGTGGGACAAGGGGTTAAGGGCAAGGCAGCTGAGCCTGACAGCTGGGGAAGGCAAGTCCCAGCACAGCATTGAGGGCAGCTGGAGGCAGCTGCCTGCATCCCCTGCTCAGCTGTTTGCATTGGACAGCAACTGAGCAACTGAGGGGCATCCACTGCCATGGGAGCACCTCTTGGGTGACCCAAACACCAGGAGAAGGACTTGCCACATGTTGTCTCTGCTGCAGACGTCAGAGAGCCAGCATTTTCACTTTGGGGGTCGTGGTGGGGCCAGAGCTGCAGTGGAGCTGGTGAGCATTGGCAACATGCCTGCACCCATCCATGGGACATCCTGAGGGTCCCTGTGCAGCCTCCCCAAATCTCTCTGTGTGCTCACACCAGTGACAAGGAGAGATGCCATCCACCCACCCAGCATCACCTCAGGGTGGGTTTTGTGGATCACAATGGGAGAAGCACCCCAAAATAGGGTCCTGTGTGAGAGCAAACTCAGGCAACCTCAAGTGATGGCAATGGAGGAGGTGGAGATAAGGAAGGGGACAATTGCTCTGGCAGTGACTCTGGTCTGTGGATTCATGCTGACACAGAGGGAAAAGGAGACAGAGCCCTCACAACCCCTACAACTTTGTCTCCTGGCTCTTCATGGCAGCGGAGTTGGAACTAGATGATCTTTAAGGTCCCTGCCAAGCCAAACCATTCTGTGATTCTGTGACTTCTGGAGACATTTGGACTGAAAGCCCCTTTTGTACCAGGACCAAGGCTGGGTCACGCTGCAAGGCAGACTCCAGACAGCTGGGCTCATGGGTAACACTCATCCCAGCAGCTGTTCTCCCTCTCCCCCTGCCCAGGGCAGCTGGAGGATTCAGCAGCTTTAGATGGTCTTCTGCTCTTAAAGTGCCCAGCCATCTTCAGTTCAAAGCCTGGGAAGCTCAGAGCAGCCCAGCCCCATTAGGACAAGGCTGAGCACCCACCCATGGGGGAAGATGGGCCTCCTGGGCACCACACACATGGCAGCTGGGGACAAAAAAGGGAGGATCAGCCAAACCCTATCCTTGGGCTGGGGCTTAGAGCCCAGCCATGCCCAGCTGGAGATGGACTAACCTGTAACCTGCTGGAGGTGTTGATGCACTCTTTAAAACCCAGCTCAGAAAAGCCACACCTAAGCCACACACAGTGAGAGAAACCCACTTGAGTCCTGTGGGTTTGATATCGACTCTACTGCTGACTCCTGATTTGATTTCAGACCATGCCCACACCGAAACTTGCCCTCTCCACAGACCTTGTACTGCCCTCTGACTGCAGGGCTGCACCCAGGGAGAGGGGATGGAGCAGGACAGAGGACCATCCCATGGTGGGGTGAGACAAGGGCACACGGTCCAGCTCTGGGGCCAGGCACAGACCTCCCAGGTCCTGGGAGGGACCACATCATCCACAGCCCCGGGGGAAATGCACAGGGTGGGGAGGGGAGGTGGTGCCTTGCATCCCTCACAGGAGAGAGCTCGTGGGTGATGGGGAACAGAAAAATAATTAACAGGTCAGAAGAGGAAAAAAAAATATCTCCAAAACATTCTGGAGAATAAATGACGGCTGGCGGGGGAGGGAAGATGGCTTTAATACAGGATTAATTGAAAACAAGATAGAGCTAATATAAGCCAGGGCTCCAGTTTAATAGTGGCTCTGGTCCATGATGTTATTAGACTTTGGCTCCAAGGTCAATAAAACCCTGACTCCTGCTAATGAAGAGGCGGTTTCTGCCCCACAACCATAAGCAACAACACTAAACAACGAGCCATCCCAACAACACTTCCACAACCCCCGCCCCTCCTGCACCCCAGAGCCTTTCCAGGATGCTGTGTGGGTGGGTGGGTCTGCACACAGGGCCTGAGCTGGCAGAACTGTCTTTTTCTGCAAGCATTTTAGCATTTTCTCTTTTCTTTCCTTATAGGCTTGATGGCATTTCTTATTCAAACTGACAGCTCTTTCAGCCAGGATAAGCCCCAGGATAACAGCTATGCATGCAGACACATCTGAGCACAGATCCAAGAGCAGCCTCGAAAGGCGTCACCACCAGAGCTGACAGAGCAGCACACAGTGCTTGGCAGCTCTGCATGGGGACCCGAGGCAGGCACCAGCCAGGGTCTCACCCCAGCAGCTGCCCAGAGCTCTACTCACCTTCTTCTCTCTTTGGTGGGCTCTCCATCGGCACCGGCTGCAGCTTTGGCTCTGCCTGGGGAGGCTGGGCGGGCAGGGGAGGCTCCGAGCTCTCCACCTGCCGTGCTGGTGGGGCTGAGACCTCAGCAGCCTTTGCTACCTGGATTTCCACGCGCTTGGTGGCCGTGTCAGGCGCGGGAGCACTGGCTGTCTCAGCTCTTCGCTGCGGCATCTCCGGGATCTTGGATGCCGGCGCCTCCACCCTCCGGAGACCCGGCTCCTGGGGCTTCCCGAGGGTGATCTCAGTCCTCCTTGGGGTGGGCTCGGGGGGTTTGTGACCCAGCACATCTGCTCGTTTGAGGCCAAACCTTGACAACCCTGAGGTGGAGTTCTCCACCTGCTTGGATGAGATGTCAATGGAGATTTCTGTTCTTCTGGACACTGGCTCGGGCAGTTTGGGTCCAGAGAGCTCCACTCTCCTCAGAGGGGGCTTGGGTGATCTTTGGACTGTGGGTTCTGCATGTCGGGCGGATGGCTCCGAATTTCTGGCACCAAGTTCCTGAAACTTCTGCGTGGAGCTGGACACGGTGGACCTGAGGAGGGTGTTCGGGGCCCGTCTTTGTGGGGTGGAGGAATTCGAAGACTGATCTACCTCCTCGACCTCAAAAGATCTTTTCAGAGCTGAAAAACATGAAAAAGAGTTCAGAATTTAGTTACCATCCACCTGAGCTTACAGACACTGTGTAAGTCTCATAACTCCACTTCTGCTCCTTCATCCGAGGGTTCACAACCCATTTAAGCAGGTGGGTACTGAGGGCCACGCTCTGCCTCTTCAGACTAGTTACAAACCCAGTAACAACATTGGAACCAGGGCCAGGAAATTCAACCCCAGAGTGGAAACCATCCCCACACTGCCCTCCATCCCACCCGTGCCTCACAAATGCTCAGAGGAGAGCAGAGGGTCCCATTATAGTATGGTAGAGTGGAGCAGAGCAATGGATTTGGAGGCAGCCAGAAATCCAGCTCCCAGTGCCTCCCTTTCCCTCTCACATCCGAAGGATGCACAGGTAAACACAGGCTTCCCACTGCCAGCAAAATCCAAGCTGGGACCAGGAAAACAATCCCAGAAGAGCACCAAATCTGTATAAATGCAGCAAGAAAACCAAAGGTGGCAGCCACAGAAGCGCATATCCTTAAAAACAAACCTAGAGGCTACGTGAGCCAAAGACTGAAGTGCTTTGAGTACATGGATGTGAGACCCCAATACAAGGGGTCAACTGGGCCCATCAGACCCCTGGGCTCTGCACAGGACCCAGCCAGATGGAAACAAAAGGCTGAACTCCATAAGAAGGGAGGGAATGCAGAGAACCACTGCTGGACCTCCATCCAAACACCACAGGCTGCAAATACCCGCTGTGCCCCACAGCACCCAGTCAGGCACAGGGTCAGGGCAGGATGAGGCACAGCCCTGGGGTCCCAAAGAAGCCTCCACGAGGTGAGGCTGAGCCAGTGTGCTGATGGCCTTGGCATGATGACAGCCACGCTGCTAATGAGCAGCACGAGCATCGTTAATGAGTCCATCCATGCTCTACATCAAAAGGATAGTAACAGTGAGATTTAGCCTCTAAAAACCTGGCCCTGAGATCCCACAGGACGCCACAATCCAGGGGAGAGACTGGAGCACAGCCTTCCCTCGTCCCAGGATGTCCACCCACCCCTGGGGTGGAGCTGGAGTAGAGCCACCACGCAGGAAGCTCTCTGCTCTGACCCCCCGGGGCAGGGCCTGGGGACGTGGGGACCCTCCATGCCTCGGACACATCCGTTCTCTGGAGAGGAGCCATCTGTCCCGGCTGGGACCAGCCGGCGGGACGAGGGGGGCCGTCCACGTGGCAGCCACCCTGGCTCTGCTGTGAACACAGCTGATGACACCAGGCAGATGCAGCCACCCCTGTCCTGCCAGCAGGGGCTGGGGACAGCCATGGTCACTTCCCATGGCAGCAGCACAGGGAGTCCCAAAAGAGATGGTGAGGAAAACGGAGCTGGAGCTTGTGTGTCAGACAAGCCACACAACGGGGGGGCTCACAGGGGTTAAAGTGCAAGGATACAGCTTTGGGCTGCTTTCCCTTTCTTATGGGAAACCAAAAACTGCTCAATATGAGTGTCAGGCTGCAAAACCAGCCTGGATGGGCACTGCAGAGCCTGGGACCAAGAGCCTTGGACAAAGAGCCTCCTCAGGATGTTGTGTATTAGTGACCCAGCAAAAGCCTCTGTTCTCAGGGACAGACACAGGCAGGCACACACACCCACACCCACACCCACACCCACACACACACACCCCCACCATGTCCCCCTGCTGTGGTTCAGACCCTGGCAAGGGAACTGCTGGGAAGTGATGGGTGTCTGGAATACACTCCCAAGGAGGGGGTCCCAGCTGGCATGGGCAGGGAGGGATGCACAGAGCAATTCAACCTGATGGGAACAGCATCACTGCTGCTTTATGGCTACAGAGAGAGGAAAGCACAAAGCACGACACACATCTTCCACCTTCTAAAGCCCAGGAAGGGTCCCATGAAGGGCACCATAAAATGGTCCATCCTGCATCTCAGAAATATTTAGACATGGGTGGAAGGAGGGAGGGAGGCAGTAAAGAAAACTAAAGATGCTTTTTCTCCAATTTATCTGCTCTGCTTTTTGACTTCCACGGAGCTCTCCCAGCCATGTCATCACCCTCTTGCAGAGGTGAGATGCTCTCTGCAGCAGTTCCTGCCCTGCTGTCAGTGCTTGGCACAGCTTGTGCTTTGCAGGTCTGTGTCCAAGTCTCAGTTCTCAGCATGCCCAGAATAATTAATCCAAAAAAAAATCTCACACTTGAGAGCTTTTTCAATGTGTTTAAACTCTCATGTCTCCAACACTGGGCTGGAGCTCAGAGCCTCCAGCACAGGCTTTGCTACAGTTTTCCTTCTCCATCACACACTTAATCCAGAAACCAACATTTTAGCTATTTTTTTTCCCAAAAATCCCAAGTTTAAAACAATGCACCGACCAAGCCCAGTTTGCATTTTGCAGGAAAACAAAGAGAGCGGAAGGGACGACCCGACGGGGAGCCTTTCCCGGCCTTGAGCAAAGCTGGGTGGGCAAGAGCAGCAGAGGACACAGCCCAGCCAGGCACTGCCAGCTCCCTGATGGATGGGATCACAGTTCTGTCCATGTCAGGCTCTTAAAACCTGCTCACCACTCCTCCAGCCAGTCAGCTCAGTCTCCATCTACTCCTCTCAACAAGCAGCCCAATAACTTCCAGGCAGATGTGTCTTGAGCGACAGTTTGAGAGCAAATGCTCTCAAGGAACTCGACAGCAAAAGAAACACTGGCAAGCACTTTTCCTTAATGGACGTTGCCTTGGAGATTTCTCAGTACCAAGTGGTTTAGGGATTTCTTTTTAACCCACTAATGATCTTTGGATACAAACAGCCCTGCTGACCTCCAGGGTTCATTGCACGAACCATGTCCATCATCTCCGCTCCTCTGAGCTCCACTGCCACTTCCTAAAGAAATGGCAGGTCACTCAATGGCAATACTGACCCACATGGCCCTTTCTTTTGACTTCAAACCCCTCAAACTGCCCCAAGCCCATGGTAAACCTGGCTAATGTCACAGCATGGTCCTTCTGGAGCACAGCCAGCCCTTTCCCTTATCGAAGGGCTGGACTGAATAAAACACCCAAAAATGGCTTTTTTCCAGGTCTTTCTGGGCCCTGTTGCAGAAAAGAGAAAAAGGTCAAAGCCCAGACACAAAGGGGTTCAAAAAGCCTAAGGGAGAACTGCAAAACCATGATTACAGCTGCAGGAGACCTGAGCCATCCAGATAACACTTCCCATGTCAGTGCTGCAGTCCCAACGGGCAATAAGTGGGTACTGAAGGGCTGGGCAAGGAACTGCCACCCCAAAGAAGGGTTAGAAATGGCTCAGCAGTTTCTGACAGCATAATCATGAGGACCCCCAGGTCCCAGTGGCACCTCCTCTCCAGCAGTGTCACTGACTTGCCTGGGGACAACCTGAGAGCTTTCCCAGCCATGGCTCTCTGCAGGGTGTGGTGTCCATCTCATGCCTCTGGTTACACAAGGATTTCAGTGCCCAGCTTGTCCTGCTGGCACATTTGGCCACTGCCCTGAATTCAGTGTGGTCTGGAGAAGGTCAAACATCCCAGGTACGAGAAAGGAGGACTGAGAGCAACAGGGTTTGTGTTTCCACCTCTGAGACAGAGACCCACTGTCATAACCATGATCCTCAGGAATGTCACCTTCAGCAACAGTGGGATGGACCAAGCATGGCTGTAGTTCCCCTGCTCTGCATCACCTCTCTCCTCCTTGCAAGAGAAGAGGGATGGACCTCAGGAAGCAAAACAACTCTCAAAAAGAGAGAAAAAACTTATAAATAGCCCGTCCTGCCCAGAGCCAGGAAAGGAAAGTAAACAGCCTCTGCTCCAGATGACCCTCCTCCCGGACTTCCTGCAGGGAAGTGTCCATATTCCTCACAACAGGAGCCAAAGACAAGGCAGTGCTGAGGGCCCCTCACCCCGTTCCCACCCGTGTGGTGATGGGGACCCACACCAGCAGTCATGGCTGATGCTCCAGGTCCCTGTGGGTCCCTATATCCCTGACAGCCCGGGCCAAGCTGTCCCTGCCCTGAGCAGGGTCCGGGCTGGCCATGCTGCAGGGTTATCCCCACTATCATATTTTCCAGGGGATTTTCGGTGCTAGCAGGGCTTCCCCAGCCCCACCAGCAGCATCTGATCTGCTGGTCGGTGTCAGAGGCAGTTGGCAGGGAAAGCAGTGGAGGTGATGAGCATCACCCTTCCTTCTCTTCCTCTGGAAGTGCACGTCCATGGGGCCCAAGCACAGAATGGCACAACCATCAGCACACGCTTCCTTTTAACTGATTCCAAACCAACTCTGGTATCTCTGGCTCATTGTTGAAGGCAGTGGCTCCCCTCACACAGCAGGGAAAGCCCAAAATCCCCTAAAATGAGATTTCCAAGAGCTTCCTATCAGATGCAACCTCTGCCACTGCCAGCCTCCACCCACCACCATCATGTCTGGGCTGGGTTCTGCTCACTGTGGTGTCCCTTTGGGGACCAGACCTTGCAAACCTCTCGAGGTCCTGGAGTTGTGCTCGGCATTGTGCAGCCATGGCTCCGCTCTGCAGGGCCAATTCTAAAAATACCACTGCTAATCCTGTTGGATGAGGGAGGCACTGGCTCTGCTGGCTGTGCACAACGGCACCTGCTCCTGAAATCCCCCAGTCTTGACCCAAACATGTCCCTGCCAGACAGGCACTTCGGGGCAAGAAATGTGCGCCTTCATCCCTGGCTCAAACACTCCCCCAGCAAGCAAATGAGCAAAACATTTATTTCTCTTTCTCTTTCATGCAGCAGTGCTGGGGATGGCTGCACAGTGTGGTCACTGTGTCCTCCTGGTCACCCCATGGCCAGGCACCAGCAGGTCACACGCCATCAGTTAAAAACGCTCTTTAGGGACCTTGTAAATTGGGAAGAGAGGGCAGAGGTCTGGTTCAAATCCCAGCAGCTCATACAACAGTCAAGATCCTTCCAGAGAAGTCACAAGCGAGTGGTACGGCTGGGGACTCCCATCTACACGCTGCTCTCCCAGAAGGTGGGTCCCTCCT